ATGGGGGGGGAGAGAGAGAGAGAGAGAGAGAGAGAGAGAGAGAGAGAGAGAGAGAAAGAATCCCAAGCAGGCTCCTCACTGTCAGCACAGAGCCTGATGTGGGGCTCAAACTCACAAACCATGAGATCATGACTTGGGCCGAAACCAAGAGTTGGACACATAGCAACGGAGCCAGCCAGGTGCCCTGGTATAACATCTTTTAAGCTACTTTAGGAAAGAGAAGCATTGAAAGACATGAGGAATGAATTTAGCCACACAGGATGGGAAGGGAGGACATTTTAAATGGAGGGAATAACATAAGAGGAAAATAACATTTGCAGGATTCCAATTTCCAATTTTACAAATATACTATCTACCAATCTATATGCGAAAGAAAAAGCATGATATACCTTTGATACTGGTTACCAACAAAAAGACTTTCAAAGAGGCAAAATATAATTAAATGAGACTCACAAAAAAGAAAGTTCTATGAGGTTGTAAAATGCAATGCAAATGTTAGTGCCCATCAAAGCAAACTCTATCATTTTACCTCAAATTCCAAGGTGGTCACTAAACATTTCATTTTAATCTTTATGTCAAGCCAGAATCCGATCTCTCAATCAATGGTTCTCAATGTCTCCTACACATCAGAATCATCGGGAGCTTTTTTTTTCATTTTTTTTTAATGTTTATTTTTGAGAGAGAGAGAGAGACAGAGCACGAGTTGGGGAGGGGCAGAGAGAGAGAGGGAGACACAGAATCTGAAGCAGGCTCCAGGTTCTTAGCTGTCAGCAGAGCCCAATGCAGGGCTCGAATCCACGAAATGCAAGATCATGACCTGAGCTGAAGTTAGATGCTTAACTGACTGAGCCACCCAGGCGCCCTTGGGAGCTTAAGAATCCCAATGCCCAGAGTACACACCAGACAATTTAATTTCGTCTCTAGGGCTTGAGCATCCATAATTTTTTGAAGCTCCCTAGGTAATTCCAACACATAGCCAAAGTTGAGGACCACAACTAAAGACATGCCCAAGGAAGACACTTACATTGTATTCTCTTCTAGAAAGAATTTATAGTTGATAAACCAATACTTATCTCCCTATTACTGAATAAATATAAAGTCGCACTGACCAAGGCCTGATAATTAAAGACTATCATTCGTTGCATATATATTTTTATACTGATATTGTGAGTTTCGTGGACTCACACAGTACTACTTCAATACTTTTTTCAACCGTTATAAGAATAATCTTCTCTAAAGCATATACACAGTTTATGAAGAAAATGTAATCTATTTTTCAAGTGAAGATTAATCAAACATCCTGTGTTGAAAAATAATGTGTGTTCAACATAAAAATTAGAGAATTTAAAACTGTTTTCAGAGCACATAATTTATTGTCTAATAGTACTACAGTGAAAGAGACTACAGTGGGAGCAGAGATGCAAAAGGAACTAACATTATTGGGTGCCCCGCAACAGGTTCTTTTGCAGCCTTAGAAGCCATTTAATCCACAAGTACTTGGTATAAGTCCAATTAGTTTCATTTTCACAGCTGTGGAAAAAGGCTCTTTTGTGAGTAAAGTGCCGCACCAAGATTCAGGCTCAGGTATGACTCCAAATTCTACTTCTTCTACTAAGTGTTTTCCATGCTAATTCTCTGGGGACTGAATTCTTAAAATGTTAACTTTTCAAGCTATCTTAAAAACAAAGACCTTGAACGCTTAAAGATGAACTACGCTAAACTTTGACTCAGTAGAGCACATAAATGTGCTCATTAGGAAAGCCAAATTTACTCACTTTTGTGCAGAGCTTGAAATAATAAAGCTTTACCTACCATATTTATGTTTAATTTTATTTTTTAAATGTAGGGAAAGATATTCTACAGGGAATTTTTAAAAATAAAAGCCTTCATATGTCCAATCACATAAACTCTTACAAGCTACATAATACAAGCAATACACGTTCAAAGTGCTCAAATGCCATGAAGGTACAGATACATCTTTCCAGTACATTATTTCACCAAGACATAATAAGCAGTGCAAGAACAAATGAAGAGGTCAATCTTAGACTGAATGTCCATTTAACATTCAGTTTCATTGTACATTTTATGTTTGACTATTGTAAGAAGTGCAAGGTTTAAATATTTTAGTAATTCTGCATTAAGCAATTTTTACTTTTCCTCTTTCAAGAGTCTGAATCAGTTAAAAAGCCATGATATGAAAAAACAAGCTTACTAAGACAACCTAGAATATGCAACTACTTACCTAACAGATTTTAATATTATAAAATGAAAACAAAACACACAAACTGGACATTAGGATAAGATTACAGCAATCATCCTTATTGCCAATTTCAATTTTCTGTGTTCATTAAAACTGCTTCATTCTTCTAGTTGGCCTAATAAGTGTCACAAATTTGAATTTATAAAACAAAACTCACACCCAACAAAATGCCCTTGCTACATACAGTTATGAAGACTACTATTAACCAAAGTTGGAAAAATACTGTATTAACAGGAATATATGTGAGATAAGAAGTCCTGAGTCTCCAAATACAGTAACTTATTAAAAGGATTTCAATCATCGTTTAAGTGCTCTTACAAAGAGATTTATGCCATGTTTCAAAAACAAAACAAAGCAAAACACATTCCTCAGTTACACTAACTACAACGGGTAGAATCTCATTTTTTTATCCTATGTTGTAAAGTGTGTGTATGTGTACATATATATACATACACACATACACCATTCAAAAGGAGAGCAGTAGCTTTAACTAGAGTTTTTTTTTTCTTTTGAATTTTCAAAGGCACAAAACACGTACTGAAAATAGTGTCAAATTTCCTATTACCTGTATTCCTAAGACTGATCACAAAGTCAGAATGGGATTTTTCTGTGTTTCCAAAGCATCTTTTATTGGGGGGTGGGGATGGGCAAGTACAAGTATAAACACTGAACTGCATTACTTCAGATATGAGAACTATTATTTTCTCTATAAACTACTTAAGAAATAAACCATTATATCAAAAGTACAACTATTTTAAGCAAAACATTCTGTCAAATGACTGATATAAAAGGAATTTTAGATACTAAAGTAGCAAAAGAAACAAAAGCAAAGTTTTAAATTACACTAAAACTAAGTGACTTAACTATATCTATGCCTTTGCTTATGAAAATCAAGCTGCCTGAATTGCAAGTATTAAAAGGCAGAAAACCAGGGATTCTAGCCCTGACTTTGCCTCTTAATTAGCCATAAATTTGGGCAGATTTCCTACTTTCTTAGATCTCCTTTTCCATGTAAACCAGGGACTAGCCAGAAAAAAAGAATTTCATGATTAAAAGGGACCTTCCTGATAACACAGTCTAGCCCTGTCATATTAAAAATGTAGACACAGAGGCCTAGAGATTTTAGGGAACTGTCCTAAATTCACACAGGCACAAAACTAAACCTAATACCCAAATCCAGTACTTATGCCATGAAACTGCTGTTAAGTTTAAGAATACAGCTATTCTAGGGCGCCTGGGTGGCACAGTCGGTTAAGTGTCCGACTTCAACCAGGTCACGATCTCACGGTCCGTGAGTTCGAGCCCCGCGTCGGGCTCTGGGCTGATGGCTCAGAGCCTGGAGCCTGTTTCCGATTCTGTGTCTCCCTCTCTCTCTGCCCCTCGCCCATTTATGCTCTGTCTCTCTCTGTCCCAAAAATAAATAAACGTTGAAAAAAAAAAATTTTAAAAGAATACAGCTATTCTTTATATACAAAGATGGCTACTGATTCGTTTCAATAGTACAATGATGAAAATTAAAGCTCTTATCATCTGGCCCTTTGGGGATCAGTAAACAGACTGCCAAGATTGCTGACCAGGTTAAATAAGTATAAATCTAGAGTTTCTCTACGCACTGTGTGCTATAATAACCAAGTTTGTCATTATACAGAAATTATATTAGCAGCACTCTTCTTACACTATGGGATTTCACAGAAATAGTAAATGTGAAAAGATTCATAGACTCCACGCCACACTTATCAGATCTAACTTTTCTTTATTTAAAGTAACTCTTTTGAAATTTCTACTGGTTCTTCAAGAATGCCAGTTTTAAAAAAATAAGATTGGGGCGCCAGAGTTAAGCATCCGACTCTTGATTTCAGCTCGGGTCATGATCTCACGGTTCAGTTAAGCATCCGACTCTTGATTTCAGCTCGGGTCATGATCTCATGGTTCATGAGATCAAGCCCTGTGTTGGGCTATGCACTGTCAGCACCTGCTTGGGATTTTTCCTCTCCCTCTCTGCCCACTTGTGCACACACACGCGTGCGCGCTCTCTCTCTCTCTCTCTCTCTCTCTCTCTCTCTCTCAAAATAAACAAACATCAGAAAAAAACTCCTAAGATTAATATCATATAATCCTATGAAAAAAGGTCAATAAGCACTTAATAACAGGAAGATATGCAAATTTTCATTCTATAACCACCAACACATGCAACTGATACTATTCTAAGAATATAGGTAATATATTTCTATCTGCATCAATTACTATACTTACATTTTGGATATTCTTTAAAAAAGTCAAAATATTTTTGACTTTGAGGTGAATAGCCACTTTTGAGAATGACTAAGCTTATTGTCTCCTAACAAGAGATCCTATCAAAGCCAAGCTGACTAGAAATTCTTACTATTCATGAAGAATATATAATGAAGTCCCCAAAGAAAAGGAAATCTAAAAAAATAAAAATTTGATTGTTTCCTCCCTTTGCTTTTCTTTTAGGTGTTATGATCAAAGATATCTGACCATAACTTACATATTTAAAAGTTTATAAATGAAAATAATCAAAAGCACATTAACGTAAAAGCATCAACCTGCCGAGGAAGAAAGTTTAAAATGCTGGAACAACAAAAACCAACAAAATACCACCCCCACACCGTTGTTTAAAACTTTAAATAGTAAATGAGGGAGGTATCTAACTCTGTATTTCTAAGTCAAGCAAACTGTAATTGCTCAGATTGATTACTATTGGCAATGCACTGTCATACCCTGACATGACTGCTTCTTACTACATCCCTTCGGATAGAAATTATGATTCCCATTTTACAGGCTCAGAGAGTATACAGTATCCATCCACAGGTGCACGCTTTGTAAGTGTAAGATTTAGAATACAGACCAGAATTCTGCAGAGGGGGATCAGGAGTAAAAGCTGGTAGACTCAATGAAATGGCTGCTTTATGCACTATAGTTGAGATAAAACGTTTGGAAAGATTCGATGCAGTTCAATTTTACAGGTTCTAAATACTAGCTCAGAAGGCTAAATTTTATTCAACAAAGAGAAACACCCAGCGATTTTTTAATAGGGTGTGATATGAGAAAGAAACCTGCAGCAGCGGGGAGAAAAAAAATGCTTATTGAGCTATTAGATGGTTCCACGCAATTTATAATGTAGTATAAAAGTCAGAGAGAGAAGAGGGAAGGTGTGAGCTGATACGGCCTGACTCATGATTTTTAAAACCCTCAATTTCTGTAATAAAAAAGCATAATTGAGGGGGCAAAAATATGGTACAATCCAATCAAAATTTATCTTAGTAATAAACAAAACAACACTGATGACCTAAACATCAGGGAGTAGCCAATGTTTAAAACAGCCTTACCTTAGGTCAGGTGATTCGGCCCTCCCATATCGGTCCTGCCACTTCCCAACGCTGGAATTGGCTTTTCTGGAGGCAGTACTTGTCTGAGACTGAGAGGAGGTGCTGTTTCTGGTGAGATAAATTTTCTATGTTTTTTCTTACATATTGTTGTCTCTGACCCCCCTTGTTCTGTCTTTTTTTTTTTCCTTTTTTTTTGACATGCTTTTTCTAAAGTCCTTTAGCATGTTCCTATCGTATCATTTTCTTCAAGTCTCTGTGGTACTAAAATCGCTAGTAGGTATTTAAATATTAACGTGTTATCAACATTTTAGTAACTCTAGAATATTTTCAGAAATCTTTTTCAAAATAGTATGTCAAAATGCAGAAATAAGAAAAGAACCAAGGGCTTATCAGGTTATTATCAAGAAATAAATTTCTGTGCTTTTATGAGTGACATAAACTTCCACGGTTTCACAAAACCTTATTCAAAACTTTTGAGGTTTTTTTCCCCTACACTCTTCAATAGGTACAAATATTGTTAGTGTAGCAGTTAAAAGTAACACTCTGATGTGTCTTATAAAAACCTACACTAAATAAATATATTTCATAAAAATTCCATTTCAAAGTAACTTTCAAAATAACATTCTAAAGAAAGTTAATTATATCCCTAGTGCAATACTCCATAGAAAGTTCAGCTATTTGCACTCTTGCCAGTCCTTTAAAAGACTAATAAGACACTCTTTCAATAGCAAAGTTTTCTATAGGAAAAAAATGTATGTTTATGTATCTGTTTATTTTTGTAAAAAGAAACAAAGGAAGAATAAACTAGAAACTAGACACAATGAAGTTAATTATTAACAGGAGTGAAAGAAGCAGGGGAAAGAATGCACTTGGGACTCTCTTCAAAGTTTTACATTGGCAAAAAAAATGTCAATAAACATGGAGAAAAAGAAAAGCTAATATTGAATACAAACAGAAACAATGGATATAATACTTTAAGTGATTAATATAACCACTCTAAAGGAAACTTCTGACTATTTTAACTACATACTCTCATCTTAAAAAAAAAAAAAAGAATTCCAAAGAAATCTTGAATTCTATTTAATAGGTTTGGTTTTTGCAATGGTAAGTGCAGAAGTTCTAATCTGTTCTGAGTATATTTTAGGATGAAGCAAAGAGTATATATACTGAAATTGTTGGGAAATAGGTTCTCAATGTGGTAAAACAGAGATGTAATCTGGATTAAGGAAAGGGAAGTAGAAACCTGTGGTGTCAAATGTGAAGTAAAAGAAGGATGAATGATTAAAATTATACATAAGGCAATTTTATATTGAAATTGGTTGTTTTCTCCCAGCCGTGAGTGCGGAAAAAGCCTAGAAACAGTGACACTCCAACAGCAATGAGCATAACTGGTGCCAAGATCTTGGTTTCTAATCATCATTTCCCATTAAAAGTCATCAAGGTGCTTTCAAGTCCCTGGCTGCTCCCAAGGAGGGGCAGAGGAAGTACAAGATAAGCATGGAACATTTGGTAAAGCTAGAAAGTAAAAAAAAATCCTCAAAAACAAAACAAAACAAAACAAAAAACATGATGGGGACATGTCAAAAGGGCACAGGAGCCACTCTGAAGAGGCTCCCATGAAGCAAGTCTGAAACAATTTGAGCATCAATATGAATTACAGTATATAAGTAGTATATATAGTTTATATACTACATATACAAATAAACCATATTTATAAGCAACAAATACACTCTCACATATAAAATAAAAATTAATGAGTCTAGATGATAATAAATAAGTGGAGGAGGTGGGAAAGCCCATTTTTAAAGAAGAATGCCAGCTAATTAATGTAAGAGAAATAACAGAGTTAGATAATCAGTATTTTACAGTCATTACAGTAGTAACGGGAAAAAGCAAAAATCAACAATGGGATTTTAAAGTTTGGGAAGTTTAAAAAAGAAACAGGATATTTACCATCTCCTCACATATTATTTATTAAATACAAACAGTAAAAAGAATAACTTTGCAGTGCAGAAACCCAAAGAACACCATTACAACTAAGTGATTAAAGTTATCATCTCTAAAAATGGGGAAAATGACATCATGTACCTCAAGGCTGATGCACTGAGGACAGAACATCACATATGTAGTTTCCTGCCCAAAAAGCAAAACCTGAACCTAATAAAGAGGAAACATCAGGCAAACTCAGATTGAGGGAGATGACTTACAAAACAACCAGACTGCACTCTTCAAAATTCAGAGTCAACAAATACAAAGAATGTCTGAGAAACTGTCTCAGATGATAAAATAATGAGATAAAAGAGTTAATTACCCTGGACTGAACCCGAAATCAAGGAAAGAACTGCCATTAAAGACATCATTGAAATAATCAGCAAAATTTATGACTTGTATATTAACATACTGGCTCATTGTAAGATTTTCTCACTTTGATTAACTGTGTACTAAGATTACATAACAGAATGTCCTTGTTCTTAAAAAATGATGTTTACAATTAACAAATGATTCAAAAAGGAAAATATTTTGGGCAAATTATAAAGCAAATATGGCAAAATGTTAATAAATGATAAATTTGGGTGAATAATATTCAATGTTCATGAGTGTTCAGTTTGTGAAAATTTATCAAGCTGTACATTCTTGACATAATATGAAAACTTTTAAAGATATAGGAAAACATTCTGATATATTAAATATTAACATTTTACTTAAGTATGCCAATTTGCTGGGCAACACAGAAAGTTAGAAACCCAGCATTTCCATCGATAAAGTACAAAGATCCATTTAAAAAAAGTTCTGTGCAAACATACCAATAGTCATCTACACATTAGTAAGGCAATCTAAGATTTTAAACAAAGGCAATACAGTGGTTAGGTCAGTAAGTAGTACAGCTCATTACTATTTGTTGGGCAGTCTCTATTATGTCTTAAATGGCATTCCTGTCTACTCCCTAAAGTCAGTAAAATTTTACTTTCACACAGGTCCTTCTAATCTCCATAAATACAAAGACCAAAACAGAAAAACACAAGTATTTATTTAGGGAAATACTTCACAATGAACAAAAGTGTGCTTTTGATCAAGTGAAGAGGAACCCAGAAAACAAACTTTCCTAATGAAAAACAGGTACTGTTCTCTGTATCAAGAAAGTGACAACACTGACATGTTGGGTATGTCTCTATAGGTTATGGTAGCAATTATCCACTTTTTTTGGTAGTAGTGATAGATCGACTAACTTTTCTGTCATTTCTTTACCTTTTTACCGACCCTTTCCTGCCACTATTCTCCATCTCTCCTTCAGTCCATGGCCGTCCATCATTATAATCACTTTCTCAAGGACCCTCTCACCTTCCTTGCACCTTTGTCATATTTGCCTGGTATAACCACAACTCATATTAAATCCCACTAGCTAGTCTTCATAAACATACAAATACCTGGCAAGGGCAAGGCAAACACATCCAAGCAAGCTGACTACTGGTCTCATTTTAAACACATAACCATCAACTTCAAGACAAGTTGGAAATGTACAGTCTCT